TCTCTCTCTCTCTCTCTCTCTCTCTCTCTCTCTCTCTCTCTCTTTCTTTCTGGTACCAGGGATCAAACTTAGGTCCTTGCGCTTGCACGGCAGGCAGAATTCTTTCTTTTTTAAAAAACAGTATCACTTATGTGGCTCAGGCTGGCCTTGAGCTCACTACCACTACGTAGCCCAAACTGGCCTAGAACTTGCAGTGATCCTCCTGCCTCAGCCTCCCAAGTGCTGGGATGACAGGCAAGCACAAAAAGTGCCTCTGATTAGGGAACTCAGAAGGGGGAGGCTTGCTAGTTTAATTCGGGTCTTTGGGTGAGCTGCAGTCAAAAGCTGAGGTCTTATTACTTCTAAATGACGATAATGTTTTTTGGAATTTTTTTACTTCTTTTTTTGAATGCTGGGTATCAAACTTGGGTCCTTGTGCTTGTGAAGCAGGCGGAACCACTGAGCGAAATTCCCAGCCCAAATGACAATAATGTTAAGCTCGGGCTGGGGATAGCGCTCAGTGGTTCCAGTGCCTGCCTTGAAAGTGCAAGGTCCGGGCCGGGGATTTAGCTCAGTGGTTTCGCTGCCTGCTGCGCAAGCACAAGGACCTGAGTTCGATCCCTGGTACAAAAAAAAAAAAGAAAGTGCAAGGTCCCAAGTTCGATCCCTGGTACCAAAAAAAAAAAACAAACAGGCATCAATACTGTTAAGCTCTTGGGCCGGGGATTTAGCTCAGTGGTTTTGCCACCTGCTGCGCAAGCGCAAGGACCCGAGTTCGATCCCCGGCACCAAAAACAAAACAAAACAAAACTGTTGAGCTCTGGACAGCTGGATAAGCCCATTTTAAAGAGCCTACTGTGTGTTAGGTGCTTGCCCTAGTGTGAGCAGTTTCCATCCGTTAAGTGCTGCAGGGTGCCCATTTCAAGTCAGGTCTAGGTTTGGCTCTTCCTCTCCTCTGGACCCTTGGAGGAGGCTGCTTCCGGTGAGGTCAGGTCCCAGAGTGCTGGTTCGGAAGCGGCACAGGGCTGGCCATGGAAGGGGCAGCAAGACCCAGGGCCTCCCACCAGGCCAGGGGACCACAGGCGGGCTAGCTTCTGAGGTCCTGAGATGGTGACTATTTTGCAGGGTATAAATGTCTCTTTTCTTTGCAGATCTTTTTTTTTAAATTAGTACACGTTTGTGGTACATAATGACCACATTGGGGGGGGGCGGGATTTGGTATGTGTACATAACACATCTTCCTTTTTTTCTCTTTTTGCTTCTGGGTATGGAACTCAGGACCTTGCACTTTCGAGGCAGGCATGGTGCCACTGAGCTAAATCCCCGGCCCACATTTTAATTCATTTTCTGTCCCTTCCCATTTGCAAAAATATCTCCTTGTACCCTATTATCCTTTTTTTCTTTTTGCTCTTGATTTATCCTTGGGGTTTCTCATATAAGAGAAATCATGAGATAGTTAAGGTCGTGTGTCTGATTTATTTCACTTAACATTATGGCCCCAATTTATCTTTCTTTAAAAACAAAACAAAACATTATGGCCTCAATTTATCTTTCTTTAGAGCCAGGTGGACCTTTTAGAACTAGCAAGCTCAGTCCGGTTAGGTGATGTGCCCGAGAGAAGTTGAGTTCATTTGTAATTTATCATAATTCGACAAAATTAGGTGAGGAGTTAACCTACGAGACCGAGAGCTCCTCGCCCATTTTACACCAGTGTCTTCGGGACCGAGAAGGGGACGTGGTAGAGGGAGCCACCGTGTTAAGGGCGGGTGCCAGGCAGTGCCCGGGCTGCCAGGACTCCAGCAGGGAGCAGCCAGCATACAGGCGGCAGGACAAAGCTAGAGGGACCCTTGGCCGCAGAAATGGCCCTCACCCCTTCCATCCCCGGGCGCATCCGTGTCTCACCGGGGACGACCGGGCGCGAGGCTCAGGATCGCGCGGTTTCCGGCGCCGAGCAGGCTGGGGACTGAGTGGGGTCTGGGACGCTGCTCTCGCGCTGGCGACCGGGAGGTGGCGCTAGTCCCCAGGTCCCCGTGAGCCGCGGGCCTCGGGAGGGGGCGCCCGATCCCAGGTCTCTGCGCAGCTTCCCGGGAAGTTTCAAGTTTGAAAGTCCTGGCGGAGAGGCCGGGGCTTCCGGAACCAAGGGGCGGAGAGAAGGGGCCGAGCGGCGCCATGGAGGAGGGGGCGAGGCGGCAGGTGAGCGCATGGGCACAGGGGTTGCGGGACCCCTCAGTGTCGCTGCGCGCGAGACCTCCGCGGAGTAGACCTGAGCCCTGGGCAGAGTCGCTCATGTCCCCCAGGTGACTCAGAGCCTCGGCTCAGGCCAGCCCAGCAACAGGTCTGGAACCGCGGTGTGCGCCACCGGGTGGGCCCCGAAACGCCCCCAAATCAGTTCTTCCAAGTGGGACGCTAAGGCTGATGGGAAAGAGCCGGAAAGCGATGGGGGGCAGGGGGTTGCCCTTCGGGCCCCTGGGGAGCTGCCTGAGGCGAAGGAGATGTGCACTGTGTGGAGGGAGGGGACAATCTGGGTGCTCTTGGGGGTCCTTCCCAGGCCCCTGGGGTGTGAGGGTGAGCTGCACAATGGGAGGTGCGCAGCCCAGAGTCCATGTGGGAATTTGGGGGTACACAGGGGACCCCAAAATCAGAATGTGGGGGACCCAGGGTTCCTGGCAGGAGCTGGCTGGCCATAGGTGTGCTGTGTGGTGTGTGTGTGTGTGTGTGTGTGTGTGTGTGTGTGTGTGTGTGTGTTGACTGGGGAGGGGTGTGCAGGATTCCAGCCCAGGGCACACAGGGTGAAGCACACAGGGCCTCCAGTGTCCTCACCCGTGGTTTAGGCCCCCTGAGGGCTGAGTCGACCCCCTCCTGGCTGTTCCTCCAAGAAGTCCCTCTGCCGGTTCCAGCCCTGCTCGCACACATTTTCCAATTTCCTGCAGCCTCCACCCTGCAGCAGCAGCTAGGTGACTCAGGACCCCTGTAGCCGGGCCCCCAGCTCCTGAGATCTTTGTTTGCTCAGGCCTTTGGCTCTGGCCCTCTTGCTTGAGGCGGTCAGAGGATTTCCTGAGCCTCGCCCTTGCCCTCAGACAACCGGCCGGGCGGAGCCTGGACTGGGGTGGGGGCCTCCCCGAGGCTGGGCAGCCACTCTTTCCCTGGGCTCAGGAGATGGAAAGCCAAAAGGTAAGGTGTGAAGGCTGCCAGGGTCCCTGAGAGGGGCCGTCCTGGGTGCCCAGGTTTGCAGTGTCGCCTCCAGAGAGGGGCTTTTCTTCTTCCTGGCTCTGAGTTGGGTGTAGGGAGAGAGCCTTCTACTTCCTCGAAGACCTGAGTTGAGGCCGTGACTGTGACCTCCCCAGCCCCGACCCCCCTAGAGGTCCCTGCTTCGCCACCTGTGGAGTTGGGAGGAACAAGGCTGGACCTTGGGCCATTGGCTGCCTTCTCCGTGTGACCCTGGCTGGATCCCTGAGCTTTTTCTGGCTTCCAAGATTCTACTTGGGTTCCCAGACTCAGAACGCAGCCTGCTTGCAAGGGAGAGGCTGGTGTCTTCGACACAGTGTCTTCTCCCCTGTATCACTGCTGTGGGCCACTCTGCACGTTTCTCCTGTGTAACGGGATAATAACAACTCCAGGGGCTGGGGGAGCTCGGTGGTAGAGTGCTTGCTTGCCCTGCACAAGGCCCTGATTCCCCAGCCCCCAAAACAAGGCGAAACAAAGCCCTTCTACTCAGAGGGGCTGCCGTGAGGAGTGATGGCCAATGTACAAGCAGCCTATAGACTGCAACCCAGGACCTGATTAGCTCCAGAGGAGCCTCAGCGATCACCCCCACCCACCCAGCCCTGTTCTCTATTGTTTTTGTTCATTTTTTTGAGACAGGTTCTCGCTATGTAGTTCAGGAGGGCCTTGAACTCTTGTGGTGATCTTCCTGCCTCAGCCTCCTGAGTGCTGGGATGACAGGTGTGCACCACCTCACCTGGCTCTGAGGTCTGAGGGCAGAGTTTCCCAAGCTGGGCTCCCCCGTCTTGGATCCCCCCAACACCTGGGCTGCAGTGGCTCCTCTTTGTCCTGCAGGCTGGGCCTGGCCCTCGGCCCCTAGAGGATGAGAAGGAGGTGATCCGCCGGGCCATCCAGAAGGAGCTGAAAATCAAGGAGGGCATGGAGAACCTGCGCAGTGTAGCCACAGACCGCCGCCACCTGGGCCACGTGCAGCAGCTGCTGCAATCCTCCAACCGCCGCCTGGAGCAGCTGCACAGCGAGCTGCGGGAGCTGCACGCCCGCATCCTGCTGCCCGGCCTGGCGGGTGAGCAGAGGACGTTTGACCGATCCTGCGGGCCCAGACTCCCTGCCTCCGATCTGGGTCCCCTATTCTGGCCTCATTCTGCAGGCAGCCTCACTGTTCTTAGCCTCCTCCGGTGCCCCTGTCACCCATGTGCCCTGGGGTGGTGGAGGTCTTGATCCTGGTGACAGCTTCCTGTGCCCCACACTCCCCATACAGAGCCTGTGGCCTCAGGACCCCGGCTGCGGGCAGAGCAGTCCAAGGCTCGGCACTTGGAGGCCCTTCGGAGGCAGCTGCAGGTGGAGCTGAAGGTGAAGCAGGGGGCCGAGAACATGACCCACACATATGCCAGTGGCACCCCCAAGGTAAGGGCTGACTCCTGGGTTCCAATGAGGGGCACAGCCCTGGCCTCCAGGCTGAAGGGAGGGACTGGGCTCTCAGCTATTAGGGGAAGCAGGGTGTGGAGGCTGTCACATGCACATAATCTTAGCACTCTGGAGGGTGAGGCAGAAGCCTTGCTGTGAGTTCGAGGGCAGCCTGGGCTACAGAGTGAGACCCTGTCTCAAAAAAAAAAAGATCTTGGGCCAGGGATTTAGCTCAGTGGTTTCACTGCCTGCTGCACAAGTGCAAAGACCTGAGTTCAATCCCTGGTACCAAAAAAAAAAAAAAAAAAAGATCTAAGGCCAGGGTTTAGCTCCGTGGCACTGCACCTGCCTCACAAGCTCAAGGTCCTGAGTTCAATCCCCAGTACCAAGAAATAAAAAAGATGTTACGGGAGGTACAGTCCCAGCCCCTACTCTGGTGGCAGAAATGTACAGCCCCAAATCCCAGGAGCATGAGGAAGGCGAAGCTCTGGCCAGAGTGTGACAGACAGTGCCAAGCACTGGCCTCATGGACGCCCAGCCACAGCTCTGAGCTTGATGGGGGCTGTGCCTCGGTGTCTGTCTGACAGGAAGGCCCAGCCTCGACCCTCGGTCTGATGGGAGGCTCTGTCTCCACCCGGGCCTTAGAGGACACTTGTCACATCCCTGTAGGAGAGAAAGCTCCTGGCTGCTGCCCAGCAGATGCTGCGGGATTCCCAGCTGAAGGTAGCCCTGCTCCGCATGAAGATCAGCAGCCTGGAGGCCAGTGGGTCCCCTGAGCCAGGTGAGGCCTTTCGACCTGACCTTGTGATTCAGGTGGACAGGGCAGACCTGGGTCGGGCCTGAGGCCTGAGTGTCCCTCACACCCCAGGCCCTGAGCTGCTGGCCGAGGAGCTGCAGCACCGGCTACACATCGAGGCTGCAGTGGCCGAGGGTGCCAAGAACGTGGTGAAGCTGCTTGGTGGCCGGAGGACACAGGACCGCAAGGCCCTGGCTGAGGTCAGCCATGTCCCCTGCCCTGGCTGCTGGGCTCCACCAGGCCCCCTGCAATGCCACGAGGCGCTGCAGGGTGGGCTGAGCAGGGCACACACGCTGTCGGGGCCTGCAGGTCTCCAGGTGGCCTGGACCCCGTGCCCCATGGCCTGTCTCTGCCTCTGCCCCCTCTGTAGGCCCAGGCCCAGCTCCAGGAATCCTCACAGAAGCTGGACCTGCTCCGGCTGGCCTTAGATCAGCTGCTGGAGAGCCTACCACCTGCCCATCCTCTGCGTGGCAGGGTGGCCCGGAAGCTGCGAGTGGCAGTGCTTGGGAACACACAGCCTGCTGGGACACTTGTGAAGCCCACGGCCCTGACAGGTAGCCAGCCCCGTCCTGCTTCAGAGCTCCCCTTGCTTTGAGGGGACCCTGAAGCACTTTGGGGAAGAATTTCAGGCCTTGAACTTGTGATCCTCCTGCCTCAGCCTCCCTGAGTGCTGGGATTACAGGTGTGCACCACCATAGCAGGGTTAGAAAGTTCTTTCTTACCTTGAGCTGAGATCTGTCTGTTTGTAGCAACTGACTGGCAGTCAATGAGGGCCGGGGATTTAGCTCAGTGGTTCCGCTGTCTGCCTCGTAAGTGGAAGGAACTGAGTTCGATCCCCAGTACCAAAGAAAAAAAAGCATATTAAAAATAACAGTTTCAATATATCAGAATCACACAATATCACAAAATTTGTATGTTCATGGTGACCAGCAGTCAATGAATGATTTGAGTGTGTAGCCCTGAGTCCCAGGCGGCCAGATGCGGCATATTCTATGTTAATCCCAGGCCCAGCCTCCCATAAATTGTGCCCCTGGGCCCAATTCCTGTTCTCAAGAGGTCCTAGGCCCCCTCTGCTTTCTCTGCCCTTTGAGACAAAACTCTTAGTGACCCTAAAAATGAGCCTACTCAGTTTGGTATCCCTGGGTGAGGTGGGGCACAGCTGGGGCTCACCTCCACCATTCAAATGGGGGAAACTGAGGCTGAGGGAGCAAGTGGAGCAAGGCTGTAAGCCAGCTTTCCGCTCCCTGACCCAAGCTTTGGTCCCTGCCATAGTGTGCTTGAGACCCAAGCACTGGGCAGCATCTTGTCCCAGCAGGCCTGGATTCCACACAGTATGACTGAGGTCAGGGCGTTTTGTTTGGGTATTTTTTATTGGTACTAGGGATTGAACTCAGGACCTTGATTTTGAGGCAGGCGGCAGAACCACTGAGCTAAATCCCTGGGCCTTGTTTGGGTTTTTGAGACAGTGGCTCTCTGTGTAATTCAGGCTGGCCTTGAACTCGAAGCGATCCTCCTGCCTCTGCCTCCTGGTGCTAGGATTCCAGGAGGCCTGGGTCTTGCACCTCTGCCTGGGGGCACTAGCTGGTCACCCAGACTATGACAGGTGGCTACTAAGGTCTCATGTACATCAGGTCCAGCTCAGCCACCTCGTGGAGAGTGATATTGCTGGGGACCCAGCGTACATGGGTGTTGGCATCTGACAAGCCCCTTCCGGTCCCCAGGGACACTGCAGGTCCACCTCCTGGGCTGTGAGAAGCCTCTGGCAGTCGTTCCCGGACGCTCTCCAGTGGCCGCACTGGCTGGCAGCCCCTCCGAGGGCTGGCTTTGGGCCAGGGCCAGGCAGCAGCGCAGCGGAGGCGAGCTGTCCAGTGAGTAGGAGGGAAGCAGCTGTGGGGGACGGCAAGGACCCCTGCTCTGTGCCTGCCCTGAGCCCTGGCTCCGGCCTCTCAGGTGAGCTGCTGGCTGTGCTGAAGGTGGACAACCGTGCTGTGGGCCAGACAGGCTGGGGTCAGGTGGCCGAGCGGTGCTGGGACCAGACGTTTGCCATTCCCCTGGAGCGAGTAAGGCCAGCTATTGTGGGGTCCAGGCCAGTGGGGTGCGCAGGGCACCAGGCCCCTAGCTCGGGGTGCTCCCTGCCCACCCCTCAGCCTGGCCTCCCTGCTGCAGGCCCGGGAGCTGGAGATTGGGGTGCACTGGCGCGACTGGCGGCAGCTGTGTGGCGTGGCCTTCTTGAGGCTCGAGGACTTCCTGGACAATGCTTGCCACCAGCTGTCCCTCAGCCTGGTGCCACAGGGCCGGCTCTTTGTCCAGGTGCTGCCTGCCCTGTGCCCCTCGCCCCTGCCCTGTGCCCCTCGCCCCTGCCCTCTGACCCGATGGCCCCTGGGTGTGGGGTTTGAAGGCCCTTTGAGACTGACCAGAGAGAGCAAGTCTTTCTAGGGAACAAGAGGCAGTGTCCCTGTCCTGACCCTGCCCTGCCTCGTATGTGACTCTGGACAAGTCCTTCTTCCTCTAGCCTCAGTTTCTCCACTGGTCCCACTGAAGATGTGGAATCCACTTCTCGAGGTCCTTCTGGCTCTTTCGTCTGTGGGTCGATCCTAGGGGCTAGGCCTGGGGTCCTGGGCTGCAGGAGGCGCCCTGGCAGAGGGACAGGAAGGGACTGGTCGTCAGCTCTCGCCTGGCCCCTGCAGGTGACCTTCTGTGACCCTGTCCTTGAGAGGCGGCCCCGGCTGCAGAGGCAAAAACGCGTTTTCTCTAAACGCCGAGGTGTGGAGGGGAGGGGTCGCGTGTGGCGGGGACAGGGCTGGGCCTTTGGGGGTCCTGGGACTGAACCCCCTCTGCCCCAGGCCAGGACTTCCTGAGGGCTTCGCAGATGAACCTCAGCATGGCGGCCTGGGGGCGCCTGGTCATGAGCCTGCTGCCCCCCTGCAGCTCGCCGAGCACCACCAGCCCCCCCAAAGGGTGCTCTCAGACCCCAACTGCACCCCGTGGGGCCTTTGAGCCTCCGTCCCCCAGGTGAGGTACTGCCTCACCCCAGACGCTCGCTTCCCTGCCCTGCCTGTCTCTCTGCCCCTCTGCCCCTCCCACAACTGTTCTGTCCTCCTGAGCTTGGCCCTGTGTCCGCTTCTGCCCTGTAGTACTCTGCCCAAGAAGACCCCCTTGGGAGAAGAGATCCAGCCCCCGCCCAAGCCCCCACGCCTCTTCCTGGCTCAGGAGGAGACACCGGTGAGGCCCAGGGGTGGCAGGCCAGGAGGGCGGGAGGTGGCAGCCAGCCCTGCCCTGAGCTCCTGTGTCCCCACAGCGCACCAAACGCCCCCACATGGAGCCGAGACCTGGACTCGTGCCCGCCCCGCCACCCTCTCCCGCCAGGTACCCTGTCCGGCTGCGTTTGCTGTGGGACGTCTGCACTCACTCTGCCGCCACCATTCCCTTTGCGCCTGCGGGGCTGTCCCTGGCCCTCCTCGGCTTCTTGTGCCCTTTCTGTCTTGCAGGAGACCGCCCCGGCTTCAGGACTTCCGCTGCTTGGCCGTGCTGGGCCGGGGACACTTCGGAAAGGTAGGGGCCTGGGAGGGCACAGTGGGGCCTGGGGGTCATGGGCGGGGAAGTGGAGGAGCCCCTGTCCTCCCCACCTGGAGCCAACCTCTCTCTGGGGCACAGGTCCTCCTGGTCCAGTTCAAGGGGACAGGGAAATACTATGCCATCAAGGCGCTGAAGAAGCAAGAGGTGCTGAGCCGGGACGAGGTGGAGAGGTGTGCGGGGTCCCTGGCAGCTCTCAGGAGCTGGCCTGGGCTGTGGCCATCAGGGGCAGCCGGGCCTGGGGGGGCTATGTTCTCATTGGCACTTGCAGTTGGGAGCTGTGGGCCGCTGGGCAGGGCGCTCTTCTCTCCTCCCAGCACCTCAGTTTGCTCTTCTGTGTAATGGGGCCATGGTGGTCATGAAGAATCAGTGACCCCGGTGAGCCTTTGCTTTATGGAAACCAGGACTTTGAGGACCAAGTGAGCGGGGTACTGTGTGGGTGGCAGGGCACTGTCCACGGAAGGGTTTTTGTTTGTTTTTTGTGGTATTGAGGATTAAACCCAAGGCCTTCTCACTCAGGTACATCCCCAACCCTTTATTTTTTAAAATTTTGGGTTTTTTTTTTTTTTGGTACCGGGGCTCGAACTCGGGTCCTTGCACCTGTGCAGCAGGCGTTGAAACCACTGAGCTAAATCCCTGGCCCTCTTGAGGGGGTTTTTGGAGGTAAGGTCTCACAGTGTAGTTCAGGCTGGCCTTGTACTTGAAGCCCAGGCTGGCTTTGAACTGGTAGTGGCCCTCCTGCCTCAGCCTCCCCAGTGCTGGGATTATAGGTGTGCAGCACCACACCTGGCTCCCATGGAGGTTTTTGTCTCTCTGAGACCCAGGCCCTCCCTCCCCACAGCCTGTACTGTGAGAAGCGGATTCTGGAGGCAGTGGGCCGCACAGGGCACCCTTTCCTGCTCTCCCTCCTTGCCTGCTTCCACACCTCCAGCCACGCCTGCTTCGTGACCGAGTTTGTGCAAGGCGGTGACCTCATGATGCAGATCCACGAGGATGTTTTCCCTGAGCCCCAGGCCCGGTGGGTTCCTCTCTCTGCTTGCCCCACTCCACTCCACTCCTTCCCTCTGTTCCCTCTGGGAACCTGTCAGCAAGAAGTGCGAGGGGTTAGCGAGGCCTTGGCTCCATTCTCCCAGCACACAGCAAGTAGCTGTTACATGGATTGCTGCCAGGTATGGTGGTGGATGCTTATCATCCTAGCACTCGGGAAGCTGAGGCAGGAGGATCCCCATGATTTCGAGGCCAGCCTGGGCTACATAGTAAGACTCTGTCTCAAAAATCAAGAACAAATTACCTGGCATGGGAACTGGCAGCTGGTTATTTTCTGCACCCCAGTGCAAGGCTCTTGGAGTTAGAAGGACCTGATCCTCACTCAGCCCTACCCCTAGTTGTGTGAGATGGGCCTGGCCCTTCCCTGGAGTCTCAGGCTCTCACTTGGGTACCAGCCATGCGAGTCACTGCTGGAGGACATCAGGAGGGTAGAGTGCGCAGTGGGAGTGCCCAGAAAGGGTGGGCTGAGTGCACAGTAACCTCCAGATGACCTTGGGCTCCTTGCTGGGGCTGCCTGCCAGCCTGGGTTTGTCTTCTCTGACCCCTCGCCGCGTGTGACTCCAGCCTGAGCCTGAGCTCCCCCTTCCCCCCAGCTTCTACCTGGCCTGTGTGGTCCTAGGGCTGCAGTTCCTACACGAGAAGAAGATCATTTACAGGTAACCCCACCCACGGGCACTGGGGCCGGGCAGTGGGCCGGGGCTGGCTCTGTCCCCACCTGGCCTCCGCCTCCCAAGCCCCTTGCTCTGCCCCTTTGCCCTCAGGGACCTGAAATTGGATAATCTCCTGCTTGACGCCCAGGGCTTTCTGAAGATTGCAGACTTCGGGCTGTGCAAAGAAGGTAGGACCAGCTGTCCCAGATCTGTCCTGTAGCCATGGTTGATCCTCTTGCCTCAGCCTCCCCAGGGCTGGGGTTACAAGCGTGCACTGCCACACCCAGCTTCCTCGTGAATGGGTCATCTCACTGAGCAGGCACTGGTACAGATGTTGGTTTGCAGGGATTGGCTTTGGGGACCGGACGAGCACCTTCTGCGGTACCCCGGAGTTCCTGGCCCCCGAGGTGCTGACGCAGGAGACATACACGCGGGCCGTGGACTGGTGGGGGCTGGGTGTGCTGCTCTATGAGATGCTGGTGGGCGAGGTGAGTGCAGGGCTCCTCCGGGGCATGGTGGTGGCGGGGTGCCCCGTGCACTCTGCTGACACCCCTCTCTACAGTGCCCGTTCCCAGGGGACACAGAAGAGGAGGTGTTCGACTGCATCGTCAACACAGACGCCCCATACCCCCACTTTCTGTCAGTGCAAGCCCTTGAGCTCATTCAGAAGGTAGGCACCGTGGGGGTCCAGGGCCGGGCCCCATGGCTGCTCATAGCTCGCAAGCTCTGCCCGTGCCCTTGGGGTCTCCCAGTGCAGCCGTGTGGGGTGCCTATGGGACACCCTGAGTGCATACCGGCTCCCTGCCCAGCTCCTCCAGAAGTGCCCGGAGCAGCGCCTGGGTGCTGGTGACCAGGATGCGGAGGAGATCAAGGCCCAGCCATTCTTCAGGGTGAGTGTCTGGGCGTGGAGGCCCCCCTGCCCGGCAGGGCGGGGGCCTGGAGCGACCCCCAGGGCTGCTCTTCCTACCCAGCCTCCTCTGCGCTCACTTAGGTCACCGACTGGCAGGCCCTGCTGGCCCGTGCTGTGCAGCCCCCCTTCGTGCCCACCCTCTGCGGCCCCGCAGACCTGCGCTACTTCGAGGGCGAGTTCACAGGGCTGCTGCCCGCCCTGACTCCGCCCGGCCCACGAAGCCCCCTTAGTGCCCATCAACAGGCCGCCTTCCAGGACTTTGACTTTGTGTCCGAGCGCTTCCTGCAGCCCTGAGGCCGTGGCCAGGCCTGGTCCGGACCCTAAGAACCCACAGGTGCCTGTGTGTGCCCTGCCCAGCAGCGTGGCTCTCCAATATGGAGGAGCCCATGAGACTCAAGCTAGTGACCAGTGGGCTGCTGCGTGGGCTTTGCTCTGTCACTGGGCAGAGTGCCCCCTTCCTGCCTCCCACCCCTCCTTGCCTCCCAGCAAGAGCCAGACCAGAAAGGGCGGTGCAGTGAGGAGTGGCTTAGTTTGTCTTTTTAATACTTGACTGGCTCTGTGGATTATTAAATGTATAAAACTGCACAGGAGGCGGCCCAGCCTGGGGTCGGGTGACCTGGGGTCCAGCTGCCCAGAACCCCCTGGGCCCTCTTCCTCCCCTTCTTCCTTGAGAAGGCGGAACTGCTCCTGGGAGGCAGGGATTCTTGGCTCTCCCAGGCCTGGCCGAGATGGCAGGTGGCCTCCGGTGGTGCTAAACGTCCTGGCTGCTGCCACCCTCCGCCTCCCCCTCGGCCCACAGGGTATCCCAGGAGCCTGAGGGCCACCCACAGAAGAAGTGGGCCAGGTTGTGGGTAAGGCCACGGTCAAAGGGGTTGCGGGAGCGCTGGCGGAGGTAGGCGATGCGGTGTGGGGAGATGAACTCCCAGGTGGTGGTGTTGCTGGCCACCAGGTAGAGGTGTGAGGCCAGGAGCAGGCTGGCCACCAGGGAGAAGAGGGACAGCAGCAGGAAGGTGGCGAACAGGAGCCCACTGGACCGGAGCCACAGCCCCCAGGGCTGGAAGAAGTGGAGACCAGACCTGCAGCAGAGAAGGGGCCCAGGCTAGGGGTAAGGTGGGCGCCCTGGGAGCCCCGGCTATGCACAGCCTAGGGGTGCCCGCTGCCCACGCTGCCCTAGGTGGGTGGCACCTACCACGCCAGGTGCAGGCCCCACAGCAGCACTGCCAGCTGCACCACCAGGTAGGCCACAAAGAGCGGGTGGTTGCGTTCGCCCACACAGTTCTCCATCCAGGGGCAGTGGTGGTCATAGCGGCGGACACAGCGGCGGCAGGCACAACAGTGCCGGGCCCGCAGGGGCTGCTGTGAGCGCAGAGTGCAGTCGGGGCTCAGTGCCCGGGGACGTCCCAGGGAGGGAAGGGGTGAGGATGGCGTAGGGCAGGAGGCAATCAGGGTGTCCCAATGTGGTCCTTGGCCCTCCCCAGAGTCCCCGCATCACCCACCAGCACCAGACAGTATCTGCAGCGCCGGAGGGCGACGGGCTGGGGGACCATGGCTGTCTGCTCCTCCTTGGGCTCCTCCTGAGAAATGAGGGGTGAGGAATAAGGCAGGGTCCTGTAGCGGCAGCTAGCATGGGGCATCTCCCTACAGGGCCAGAGGGCTAGGGCAGTGGAAGAGTGGGTGGGTGGAGCACCCTGTATAAGCAAGGCTGGTGACCCTTGCCAGGCACTCCCCCTCTCTGGACCCTGGCAAGAGGATTGTCTGAGATGCCCACGAAAGCCCTAGTGGCTGGAGGAAGGGTTCGGGCCCCTGGGGGCCCCTGGTTACCTGGGGCTGGGGCTGAGTGTTCACATAGCCCGGGTCCATGAGCGACACAGCCAGGTAGAGCAGGAGGGAGCCCAGCACCAGGAGCAGGAAAGTGAGGGGCAGCAGCAGCTCCCCCTGCTCCTCCCACTGCCGCAGCTCTGGAGAGGCCGGAGGGAGACAGTGAGGTGGGGGCTGGACAGAGTGGGAGGGGTGGGACTTGGGCGCAGCTAGATGTGGGGAGTGTGTTCCTGGCTGAGAGCAGCCTGGAGATGGGGTTCCTGGGTGACCGGGGGTGCTGCCGGAGGGAGGAGTTTAGGCCCAGCCAAACAGTTCATCTGCACTCTCTGGAGAGCAATAGGGAGCCATGGAAGGTTATTGGGCAACATCTGTTTCCCAAAGCCCTCCTGCTGGCAAGATGGATTAGCGGGGAAGCCCAGAGGCACAGAGATCTGGCCAGGAGGAAAGGGAGGGAGACTGAACAAGGCCTGGCAGGAAAGGGAACAGGAGGGAGTGGACACAGGAATAAGGAAGTGAAGGGGACACAGTGATGGGTGGGGGAGTGGGAGGAGGGCTCCTAGGTCTCTGGCTCCTCTATGGGGACAGACTGGCCAGGTCTGAAAGGCCTGAGAGCGGAGCCTCTTCCTCAGGACGGTCCAAGAGGTTTGAGCGATAGGAGTGACTGAGGATTTGGGGCAGAGGAGTGAAAGCCGTCGACGCACTGGACAGCTCCAGTGCCCTTGGATGTAGAAGGCTGCAGGGAAGGTAGGCATCTGAGCGGTCCTTTTCTGATGAGGAGACTCAAGCAAGTTCCTAGGCTGAAGGGAAAGGCGCAGGAGGCTGAGGCGGCCAGACCGGAGCGGCTGCTGCTGGCGCTGGGCTACCATGGAAAGAGGGGAGACGCGCGGCTCCTGTCGAGCGCTATTTCGGGAGGAGGCAGCCCGGACCTAGGTACCTACGGACTGCCAACTGGAGCTCGGGGGTGTGGGCAGAGGCCAGTCCTCGAATCTAGTTGATCTCCTAATCTTACAGGCGGGAAGCTGGAAGTCAGTTCCCTGGAGAATGGGTTGGGATGGAGGGTCAGTGGAGAAGGGGCTCTAGTCGGTCCTGGGCTTGGTGGGCACCAGATGGGTCTCGGATAGGCGGCATCTGGCAGCGATTAGGAAGATGCTACGATTAAGTAGGAGTCAGGTGGGTATCAGCAGGTGGCGCCTGGAAGTCAAGATGAGGAGGGGCCTGGGGGCTGGCGGAGACCGGTGAATTCCAGTATCTCCGGGGAGTAATCAGGTAGCCTGGTGAGACCCAAAGGTGTGGGAAACCATGCGGGGTCGGGTGGGCCCGGCTCACCGGTATCGTGCAGGAAGAGCACCAGCGTGATCCCCCAGGTCAGCACAGTGTGCCCGGTCCGCACCAGGACCCCAGGGCTGAGGAGCGCCCAAGGCGCCATCGCCTCGGCCCCGGGTCCCACCCGGAAGCAGCGCCCAGAGGGGCGGGTCCTCAGAGGGAGAAGGGTCGCGGCCACCCTGGGATTGGCGGATCGGGGGGTGGGCGGGGCCGTTTTAGGTCAGTGAGATTTCCTATTGGATGGTAGCCATGACCCAGTGGGCCCGGAAGCCAACAGGTGCCTGAGGAGGCCGAGGGAAGGGTCGGCGCGCGCAGCCGGTAACTCCTCCAACTCCAGCCCCCACCCAGCCGGTAACTTTCGGAAGCCTGAGAGCAGGCGCGCGGCCCCACCCCGTCCCATGGGCTCCACCCCCACGGCTCGCGCATGCGCGCAGTTCCCGGGGCGCCCCACAGGTCGGGCGCTCACTGGTTCCAGAGGTGTGAGGGTAAAGACCTCGCGAGACGTAGGTCGCTCCATAATGGCACCTTCTCTTCCTCCTCTTTGTTTCCTGATACTACACAGGGATGATGGTGGTGCCCACCTTCCCAGGTGGTTGGGAGGATTAGAGAATGGAAGTGCAGGCCAGGCGCAGTGTCACCGGCCTGTAATTGCACATACTCGGGAGACTAAGGCAGGAGAGTCTCGAATTCAAGGCCAGGCCGGACAAACTTTGGTTAAAATAAAAACAAAAAACAAAACGACTATCGGATTTGTATCTCCATGGTAGTACCCTGGCTCCACATGCTAGAGCACCTAGGCTTGGTTCACAGTACTGGAAACAAAAACACAACTGCCAGGCGTGATGACGCACACCTGTAAGCCCAGAATTTAGGAGGGTGACACAGAAGGATCACTGAAAGTTTGAGGCCAGCCTGAACTAACTACATAGTGAGATGCTGTCTCAGAAAACAAATTGGCCAGGCTTGGTAGCACACACCTGTAATCCCAGCACTTGGAAGGCTGAGGCAGAAAGATCACTGCAAGTTCCAGCCCAGCCTAAACTGCATAACGAGACCCTGTGTCAAAAAAAAAAAAAAAAAAACCCAAGTAGAATAGAATGTCTCGTGGTGTACAAAATAATACAATAAATTTTCTCCCTGTGTCAAAAAAAAAAAAAAAAAAAAGTAGACCTGGCCAGCTGTGTGTTTGTACTGGTGCTCATAGGAGGCGAGATTCTGGCTTCCCAGGGCATGTTTGTTGAGGCCAGGTCTCATATGCAGTTCAAGCTGGCCTTGAACTTACTATGTAACCAAGGCTGGCCTTGGACTTGAAGTGATCCTTCCCCCTCAGATTCTTGAGTGCTGGGATTACAGGTGTGCACCACCATTGGGCATCCCAGGGCCTCAGATGATTACATTCCAAAGAAGCCATTCTCAGATCCTGGAAAATGACCCCAGCCCAGGTTAATGTCCTAAGGGCATTCAGCCGCCTACAAACCGGCAATGGCTCTGTAGTGAGTAAAACCTGTGAGTGCTTTTGGAGGTCTTGAATTTCTCAGGCAGGCAGGTCAGTGGTTTAGGGTTGGCTGTCAGACCTTGAGGTGAGGGTTTCTGTCTCTTAATGTGGGGGAGGGGAGTGAAGGATCCCATATGTGGTGTGGAGGCCCTGCCAGGAAGAGGTGGGGCACAGCACCCAAATTAACCAACCTCTCTTGCAATCAGGACTCTGAGTCTTAGCCCGGGACACAGTCAAGAGAGCAACTGGGGCCAGGCAGGGCACACACCTGCAATCCCAGCACTGGGAAGGGTGAGGCAGGAAGATCGCCATGAGTTGGAGGCCAGCCTGAATTGCATAATGAGATCAGGTCTCAAAAATAAAAACTTAACAAAGGCTGGGAATGTACCTCAGTGTGAAGGGCCTGGGTTCAATTCCCAGTACCACCAAACAAAAAGGAAGAAAGAGACTTAGTCAGTTTGGGGGCACTAGGACAGGCTGGCACCAGGGTTCATCCCCATCCGACCCCCACATCTGCCCCCACGGTGGACAGGCTGGCAGCTGGTGGCAGTTTGCTGAGTGCAGCCTGGGTCGCTCACGGCCCTCTTACTGGGAGATTGTGTCCCAGAGTGTCTTTTGTTTGATGCTGATGTTCTGAAAGATTTTCACGGATTCTGGTTCCCAATGGAGAGCACGTTTCTTATGGAGACAATAAAGTGGCTTTGTGGTTTGGACATCAGTATACTTTTGCAGACTGTCACGTTGGTGCCTGGGCTGTAGCCAGTGTTCCAAAGCCCTCTTGTTTCCCTCCCTCCCTCTGTACTGGGGACGGAACCCAGGGCCTCACCATGCTAGGCAAGTGCCCTGCCACTAAGTTATATCCCTGCTCCTTTAAACATTTTGAGATATGGTACAGCCTTGCTAAATTGTGCTGGTTGTCCTTGAACTTCTTTTTTTTTTGGTACTGGCATTGAACGGCATTGAACTCATCCTTGCGCTTGCTTGCGCAGCAGGCAATGAAACCACTGAGCTAAATCCCTGGTCTGTCCTTGAACTTTTGATTCTCCTGCCTCAGCCTTCCAGATGCTGGGATTACAGGTGTGTAGCACCATGCCTGGGAAAGTTACTGGGGTGTTAGGGTGGAGCCACAGGAGGGATGTAACATTCCTGGGACCCCATCCCCAGGCCTCTCCCCCAAGAGCCCTCTGCCACCCACTGCCCAATGGCTTGCCTGGGAGCCCTGGGGGACACCGCACGTCTGGGAGGGGACTTGGGGAGGGTGCCTGTGTGCGAGGCCCTGTCAAGCACTGTGAACAACTCGTGTCACAGACAAGGACACCGAGGCCAGCCTGGGTAACTCAGGGACTTACGGAGATTCTGTCTCCAAATAAGAATTAAAAAACAGGCTGGGGATGTAGCTCATTCCCAGTGCTAAGGTAAGGTCCTAGGGTTCAATTCCCAATGCAAAAAAAAAAAATCATAAAATCCATAGGGTCACCGCAGCCTGTAAGGAATGGTTTGTTCCAGTCAGGTGATGTCTAGGAGGAGAGCTCCACTAGGTGACGCTGAAGCTGCAGATGTAAACTGGGAGTGTCCCGGGTGAAGCCAGGCTCCGGGCACCTAACCATGTGGCCACAGTGCCCTCCGTCTTCATTCTGTCCTTCCAGGCCCCAGGGCCGGGCCTGGCTCTAAAGTCTCCTCTAAAGTCCCCAGCATGGGGACACCAGGCCCGCTCTCCCCCAGTCCCTGCATCACCACCTCACCACCTCCAGTCTTCCCTGACCCTGAGTCTGCAGGTCGCCTCCTCCCTGCTCAGGGCACTGGGGCTGTGACCCCCTGTACCTCATCTGTCCCATCACACAGCAGGGCCAGGGTGCTGTTCGTCTTGGCCAGCCTCGACCTTGGTCTGGCACAGAGGCATGAGGAGCAGGTGCAGGAAACAGACTCCACCTCCGTCTGCCACCTGGACACAGGAAGCCACCAAATCTGCCCTGTACCAGGGTGCCCAAACCAATCCCCTCTCTCCCCACCAGCCCTCCACAAAAAAGACAGTCCGGTCCTGTGCACTTTGACAAAATGTATTTCTGTGACATCCCCACGCACAGACACGTGCGTCCCCAGACCCCGGGGGGTAAAGCAATGCGATGTGAGCTCTGCCTGGGTGGTGGGGCCAGTAGGGCTCCGGATGGAGGGTGGTGTGGGGTGGGGGTGGGGCCCTGCTGACGCTCTGGGGAGCACAGAGCAGGCCTCACCTTGCCCAGGAGAGGCTGCAGGAGAGGGCGGTTGCCAGCCCGGCCAGTAGCGCCTGGAGGCAGAGGCACTGGTGTATCCAGCAGCCCTCGAGGCGCAGGGAGGCCAGAGCCATCAGCGACACCTCCAAGGGCAGCTCTGGCCCTGGCCTCTTAGCCACCCGCGTATGCATGAGAAGCAACTCTGAGCTCCAGGAGATACTCAAGGCCTGGGGACACAGTTAGTTGCCTCTTAGGTCGGCAGGAACAGCCTGGATGGCAGGCAGGGCAGGGGCCAAGCTGGGCTGGGCTGAAGGCCACTGCCTGCTGCCACGTGTCCAGGGGACAGGAAGGATGGGTCATCTCGATGGCAGGGCAAGACAGGCTCAGCTGTGCTGGTGGGGTGCATGGCACTGTGAGGCTCGTGAACAGGGCGGGCACGGAGCTAATGAGCCTGAGCCCCAGGCTCCAGGAGGCGCTCACTTCGGAGCTAGGCAGGTTCTGGGCAGGTTTGGTGGAGAGCAGTGGCACCACCCCTGGGGCCTGGCCTCCTGCACTGGGGCCATCAGCGGCCTGGGGCCGGTGGGAGGCTCAGAGGAAGCCTCCATAGCAGCGTGGCCCGGCCGGAGCCCCGCTCCTTAGGGTCCCTGGGATCGGCTCACGTCCTGGCCCGATGGCCCACAGCCAGGAGCACCAAGGCTTCAGGGAGACCCGTGGGGTTACTTTAGTCCCCAAACCCCCTCAGCCGCGCCTGGGAGCTGGGATGGGATCTCAGATGCAGGTAGCTTAGGGTGGTGGAGTCAGGCCGGGGTCTGAGTTCACGGGGAGAAGACGGACACGCATGTCAGAGGCATCGAGGCAGCACGGGCAGGGGCAGCAGTGAGGTTTGGAGCTGGGCTGAGGATGGCCAAGGAGCTGCAGGGGCTCAGGGAATTTCCTTTGTTTTTGTACAGAAATCATACACACAAAACTCCACACTTCCTAACCAAAAAAAATAATATATATATATAATATATATATCTCACTAACGTTAAGGAAAAGCATCAGTTGTGCAAAAGTCCCCTCTGTCTCCTCATCCGCGGGGGCTCCAGAGGGCCTGTGGCCGGGCCTGAGCGCTCCCTCCTGGGCGCAGTCCCGCGGGGCAGCATGGAGGGACCTCTATCTGGACGTGTCCATGTTCTCCTCTTTAAAGTTGCTGCAGTGCTCGATCACCTTGCTGGGGACACAGGGGAGAGGGCTGGAGGGTGGGCTGGGAAGCTTACTGGCCATGCTCACCGGGAGCTTCCGAAATTCCCGGCCCACCTGCCAGCGTGTGAGAAAGGAAGCTGGGCTGTGGCCTGTGCATCTGCAACTCTTTCCTGGTGTCATCTCAGGGAGACTAAGGTTGTGGGGTACTCATTTTACCACCCTCACAGACGAGTCTGTCAACTAGTATATGCCTTTCGCCAAAATGATGGCCGAGCAGCCGATGCTGTCACTCCATGAGGCCCCTGCACGTCAGGTCCCTGTCCCACATTTCCCTTTACTCCATGCCACGCTCAAAACGGTGACAAAAGCCCAGGGGAGCCTAGCCACATGCCCTTCAGAGTGGCCCTTCCCACTGACCCGACACGGCATCCCTGCTGTTTCTCGTGCACAGGTAGGTGGGAGAATCAGAGCTCATGCTTTAGGTTGGGCAACGAAGCCCACAGAACAAAAGCACAACGACTCTGGCACGCTGGTGGCCTTCATATCGAGCCTTTCTTGGGTAAGGCGCAGAGGATGGCATCCAGGGCCTCAAGCGGGTTACACGAGCGCTCTGCCTGAGGGACACCTGCAGCCCCTCCCAGTAACTTTCTCACAGTCTGCCCACCCCCACTCTGGTGTCCAGAGTGCCCCACACTGCACCCTGGCCTATCTGCTTGCAATGTCTTTGGCCAAAAAGAATGAGAAGTCCTGACCTGACTTGCTAAGAGCCAGGGAGAAGAGGGTGGAGTTTGTTGGGAATACAAAGCAATGAAGCCAAGGCGAGTCCATGACGTTCTGTCAGAGCTTGGCCACCCGGCTTCCTGCCACACTGGGGCTGAGTGACAGAGGCCCCGCGGGACACCCACCCGATGTCCACCTCCACAGTCAGGCGGAGCGGCTACAGGGAGCCTGGGCTCCATAACCACTGGGAAACCCACAGTGCCCTCCCTGCCCGGGGCCTGGGGCCCGGCTCCACGGGGAGCATGCTGCTCTCACCGGGCCATCTCCTTGGTCTCCTGCCGTGCAGTCGCCATCTTGATCACGTCCCTGAGGAGGGGCATCCCACCCTCCTTGATCAGCAGGGGGCAGTACTTGTCGGCTGTGGGGTGGGGAAGGGAGCTCATTGAGGCTGTGTCTTCGACCCCCATGCCAGAAACCCACCCTTGCATGAGGACCACCCTAAGGGAGGGGGACAGTCACAGTCACATCTGTCCAGCCTGGGGGTCCTGAGTCACCAGGGAAGCAGGGGTGAGTCCTTAGGGATGGCTCTTCCCTACTGAGGTTCAGTTGCTTGTCCCATGGGAAAGGTCACCCAAACAAGGCCCTTAAATGTGATTTTCCTCCGAGAAACTTTTATTAAACACAGATTTTTAAAAACAAACAAAAGAACACAGATTCTTAGCTGGGCATAGTGGCGCATGTCTGTAATCCCAGCACTCAGGAGGCTGAGGCAGGGAGACTGCCAGCAGTGAAGGCCAGCCTGGGCTACAAAATGAGTTCAAGCCCAGACAGAACAACATTGGCAGACCCTGTCTCAAAAACCAAAACAAAAAAATCAATAAATAAAACATAGATTCCCAAGTTCTGTTTCTGTATATGCACATCTAACAGATCTGGGACCTGCATGGATTTGTATGTTTTGTTTCGTGTTTGTGGTACTGGGGATTGAACTCAGGGGTGTTCTACCACTGAGCTATATGCCCTCCCTTGTTGCCAGGGGAGAAGGGACTTGTACTTTCGATCTTCCTGCCTCAGCCTCCCTCGGGATTAGGATTACAGAAGTGAGTGTGGCACAGGTGTGAGAGTCTGCACCGGGGCAGGGGGCACTCACGGTAGACGGACACAAGGTTGTACAGGGCCCAGGTTGCCCAGTGCTGGCTGACAGGGGAGATGCCCTGAGGCAACAGGCGGAGGATCGGCTCGAAGGACCTGAGGGCAGAGAGATTGAGGTGACCGCAGGGGGAAGGACAGCTCCGGCTCCCAGTGCAGCAGGGCCAGACAGAGGGCGGAGCTGGGGACCTGGGAGGGGGATGCAGAGGGAAGTATGGGCCTCCCTGAGTCACAGCTTCTGGGGACTCCCGGGGACTCCCCGGTGTGTTGTCCTTAGAGTTTCAGTGCTTGGGGATTTGGCTGAGCTGCCAGTGAGGGCCCAGCCTCCCAGTGTGAGTTTCCCACTCAAACGACCATCAGTCCAGGGTACCATGAACCAAGCGGATGGGCGACAGGCCCCGGTAACCGGGCCTTCAGTCAATACAGGAAGAATGGGCACCAGGACACCATAGTGCAACCAGGCTCTACCGGAAGGTAGGCTGCGGATGCTGCTTCTCTTTCCCTCCAGTGTCTGTGCCAGGTACCCACAAAGTGCAGGCCGCACATGGGGAGCCCCACATGCCAGGCAAGCTCAGGGTCCCCGGGCTCTCGGCTGTGTGGCCTGGACCTCTCGAGCATGCCTGTCCCCCAGGCATGAGACCCCACCCGCCTGCCTCCTGCGGCACCTGTAGTTGATGTTCCTGCGGGAGTTGATGTCCCAGCTCTGGATGGCTGCCCACATGCGTTCCTCCACCTCCTCCCGCTGGGGCTCACACACACCCCAGGCTTCGGGTCCGTCAAACATGATGTGGGACAGGACTCCACAGGCGTTGTAGGACACCTCAATGCCATCCGCCTTGCTCTCCAGCAGGTTGCTGCGGGAGGAAGGAGGTGGACTCCTGGGAACTTGCTGGATTGTAGCTGTTTTTCCTTGCTGTTGTTTTGTTTCTTTGAGACAGGGTCTCACTATGCAGTCCAGGCTGGCTTTGAACTCATGGTGATCCTCCTGCCTCAGCCTCCCTAGTGCTGGGATTACAGGAGTGCACCACCATGTCTGGAGCAATTTATTTTTATTTATTATTTATTTTTTATATTGAAGTCAGGATCTTCATGCTAAGCTACATCTCCAGCCCTTTTTTATTTTGTGATAGGATCTTGGTAAATTGCTAAGTTTTGGGGCCAAGGATTTAGCTCAGTGGTTCCACCGCCTGCCTTGCAAGTGCAAGGTCCCGAGTTCAATCCCCGCTACCAAAAAAAAAAAAAAATTGCTAAGTTTTTGAGGCTGGGCTTGGACTTGCAATTCTACTTCAGCCTTGCAGAGGGCTGGGATAACAGGCAGGCAGCACTCTGCCTGGCTTGGATTGCAATTTATAAACCAGATGCCAGGGAGACTATTGATTTCATTATAACTTATTGTTTATACTCAGATTCCTTTTTTTTTTTTTGGTCCCAGGGATTGAACTCGGCACCTTGTGCTTTCGAGGCAGGTGGCAGAGCCACTGAGCTAAATTCCCAGCTATCCTCAGATTCCTAAAAGGAATCTGAAGTTACTTAAGATACAATTACAGGGCCAGGGATTTAGCTCAGTGGTTTCGCCACCTGCTGCGCAAGCGCAAGGACCTGAGTTCGATCTCCAGTACCAAAAAAAAAAAAAGATACAATTACACAGGCCCGGAGATTTAGCTCAATGGTTCTGCCACCTGCCTCGAAAGCGCAAGGTCCCGAGTTTGATTCCTGGTACCAAAAAACCAAAACAAAACAAAACAAAAAGATACAATTACACAAAGACCACATGTGGCAGGGTGAATGAATAAGGAACCACATTTCGGAGGGCAGGTGACATTTGTGACAGAAATGCAGGCTAAGAGCAGTTACAGCAGCTGAGTGAAGACCACAGTCCTCAGCGTCCTGGCAGCCAGGGCAGAAAGGGAAAGACGGCCAGTACTGACCTGAAGACGCTGATGAACTGGGAAGTCATCAGCTGAGGCCGCAGCTCCTTCACCTCCGCCACATTCCCCAAGAGTCCCAGCATGTTCCGGTGCAGCTCTTGCTTCTCCGGGAATTCCTGGCAACATGAGACGCAGTGGGGCTGCTCAATTAGCACCGAGTTACTTAGTGTCTGGTGTTGTTAACCTGAGAGTTCTATGGGCGTCTGTCTGGCCATTCCCATTAGATGAGCGGGAGGGAGGCGGTCCTCCTGGCTTCCGGTGGCCCAGGGGAGAGCTGGGTGTACATGGTGAGGACAGAAAGGTGGGAGGCCTCGGAGAGATCTGAGCTCTGGGGCCAGGAGACACTGGTTGCCAAGACTCACGCTGGTTTATGGGAGTCCCCGAGGGAGTGCCAGGGCTCAGCTTAGGGATGAGACCACGCCATGGTGGAAGCCTGCCCATGGATGTCACCGTCACCGTGGGCTGGAGAAGTCAGGGCCAGGGGTTCCCTAAAGGGCACCCAGTGGGCTGCAGGGAGCTTGTAAGCAGCAAATTGGGGCTGGGGGCTGGGGTGGGGCGGCTAACCTTCAGGCAGTCCAGGAAGAGCTTCATGCCATTGAAGTTGAGGAACATCTCACAGTTGTCGGGTGTCTCATCTGTGATGTTCCACAGGGCGCTCCAGGAGAACTCCATGACCTGGTCACACTGCGAGGGACATGGGGCTCAGGGCACGTTGGGGACCTGCAGCACCAGCCCAGGGCGAGCTGCCCCCCAGAGCCAGCCTGGAGCCTCCACTTACGATCTTGTCCAGTAGCTTCTTCTGAATCAGCTTCAGCATGGTCTGCAGACAGAGGAGAGAATGCATGGAGGCCAGGGCTCGAGAGTCACCGCATCCCAGGGCCCTGGCATGGGACAGGGCTGGGGCCTCTTCTCAGTAGTGTGTCCTGGGGAGGTCAAGTCTCCTTGGCTTTTTGGGAGGCCACAGGAGGATGCTCAAGGCACAGACCCTGGGACCTGGCTGCAGGCGGTCTGAGGACTGCCCGGCCCCAGGCTGACTCCCTGGTGACTCCAACCCGTCTCCAGGTGGGCTGTGCTTCCCTCAGATTACAGGAGAGGCAGAGACAGGGCCCACCTTAGTCCTCCTGGGTTTTCTGGTGTTTTGAGACAGGGTCTCTCTGTGTAGCTCAGGCTAGCCTTGAACCCATGGCACTCTTCCTGCCTCAGCCTCCTGAGTGCTAGATTACAGGCATGTGCCACCACACCCAGCCTGCCTCAGTTCCTTTCCCTGCCTTGGTTCTCACCTTCCTTTAGCCAGCAATACTGATCATCTCCCACCATGTGCTAGGCCCAGGCTAGGAATTTATGTGCCCGAGGCCAGGACACACTTCGGAGGACAGTGACGAGGGACAGGCACCCAGCCCTGCTATGGGAGTTCGGCCGGCATCAGGCAGCGTGGTGAACACTGTGTGAGCCCAGCTGAGGTGCAGGAAGGGGACAGCACATCTGGGCTGAGGTGGTGGTGACTCACAACACTGCTCCTGCTCTGCCCCCCAACCCCAGCCCTCCTGACCCGAGGCACAGCTCCGCCCACCGTACCACGACGAAGCCCATCTTGCCCACGGCCTCCTTGTGGTCATTGTCCACCTGGCAGACCAGGGCGTTGCACAGGTGTACAGCAATGCGCTGGATTGACTCGTCCTGCCGAGTGGGGTTGAGGATGCTGAGCAGCAGCTCGTTGACGCGGCGGTACTGGAACTCCAGCTCCTCAGGGATGCTGAAGTTGCACAGGGTCAGGCAGCAGTTCCGCTGCACCTGCGGGCGCGGGAGGGGCACGCTCAGCTTGGGCTCTCCAGGGCTTCGGTCACACAGGGTGGGGTGCTCCGGGGAATCCTTCTGGGAGGGAGGCTACAGGCTTGGTTTTGTTTCTGGTACCAGGAATCGAACTCGGGACCTTGCGCTTGCGAGGCAGGAGGCAGAACCACTGAGCTAAATCCCTGCCCCTCACTGTATTTCTGTTTTGAGATAGGGTCTCACTATATAGTTCAAGCCGGCCTCAAACTCTTGGGGATCCTCCTGCCTCAGCCTCCAGAGTGCTGAGATTACAGGAATGTGCCACTATGCCCAGCCTTACCCTCTTTTATTAACCTCATTCTTTCCCACAATACTTACTAACTTATTATACACACAAATTATTTTTTGGGGGGCTAGGAATTGAACCCAAGGCTTCATGTGAGCTAGGCAAGTCCTCTACCACTGAGCTATACTCTCAGCCCTATGTATTTTTTTGAGGAAAAATTTATAAAAATACTTATTTACTGCAAAAAAAAAAAAAAAAAGTCACAGGGTATTATCTGAGCAGAGTACCAATTTCGTCCCCAGAAGTAATCACTGTTAAAGTTTGGTGTGTGTCCTTCTAGATTTCTCCCTCATGGGAAAGGGATGCAGAAAAAGACTTCAGGTTGGTCTAAAACTTCTCTTCACTTAGCCATATGCAGGAGACGTCTGCCGGGTGTAGTGGTGCACGCCTGTAACCCCAGCACTTGGGAGGCTGAGGCAGGAGGATCATCATGAGTTCAAGACCAGCCTGGACTACATAGCGAGACCCTGTCTCAAAAAGCCAAAAGAAAAAAAAAAGAAAAACGAAAACCAAAAACCAAAAAGCATCCTAAATGATCAACTCTGTGTGCTGAGCCAACAACTCTGCTGCGGGTGTGGGGCTTGGCCATGGCTTCGGGCTCCAGGCCACATCAAGTGGCCTTTCCTTCAAAGAGGACACAGAACACCATGCTGGAGTCAACAGATATGAAACTGAACTGTTAGCAGTTTCTGGGGAGGACAGATAGGCTTGTGAACAACTTTCACTTTCTAGACAATTCACTCTTGCATTACTCTAAGTTTTTTTTAAAGTATTAGGTATCTTACCTTTGTAATCAGAAAAGAAATATTAAAAAATGTGCAGCAGAAATATGTTTGCTAGGGGACCAAGAGATGCAGGGAAGGGGAGGTAGAGGAGGGGAGGTAAAAATGATTAAGATGCTTTTCATATATGCACCAACTACTCCTGATAATGTAATCCTTATGTACTGAAAATATGTGCTAGTAAAAATAAAAATTTAAAGATGTTTGCTGACAGGAGAGGTGTTCACATTCACAAGACACAAACTACCGTTTACTGACCAAGGATGCATAGACTGAAATCCTGAACAGACACCCACGACCATGGAGGCTGCCTCTGCGTGGGGGGATTACGGGTGATTTGTATTTTTCTTACAGCTGTAATTACAAGTGTTTAATTGTAAAAAAAAAAAAAAAAAAAGGTATACTGTTTTTGGTGTGTGTGGTTCCAGGGGTCAAACCAAGGGCCACGCGTCACACTGGGTCAGGGCTACCTCTGAGATACAGTATGGCCCAGTTTTTATAGCTTTTTAACAGAGCAGCTATTGGGTAACAGTGCCCGAGCCCAGCGCGTTACACAATGGACAGCACTGCTGAGCCCAGGGGCTGGAGGCCTCCACACGGGGCAGGGTGGCAGAGGCTGGGGGGCTGTGGGTGCAAGTGGGGCTGGGCTCTGGGGACCCCAGGTGCCAGGGCTGGGAAGGAGGCCGGGAGGGGGCTCACCGTCACCTCCTGGTAGGACTCCATGCCATTCAGCACCACCTGGATGACCTGCCGGCGCAGCTTCACACTCTGCTCGGAGCGGTACTCAGAGTTGGTTAGGTAGAAGAGGGCGGCGCTGCCTGTCACTTGGATGTTCTTGTCGTACTTGTGGCACTTGAGGGCCGTGATGACCAGCTGTGGGGAGCGGGTGACAGGTGCCAGCGCTGAGTGTGATAGGCCTGGCCCGCGGGAGGGGCATGGACAGCTCCTCTAGGGCTGCAAGAGCCCTGGTCCCATGGCTCAGGCGGCGGATGTGGGGACAGAAGGGGACCAGGGCAGGACAGTGCTCTGAACAGGGCCTTGCAGAAGTGAGCTGGGGCAGCAGGCAGGGCTGGGAGTGGGGGCTGGAGATGAAAAGGCGGGACTGTCCCGTGGGGCTGGGAAAGACAGGGCTCAGGGTACACAGTTCTGCCGAGCACAGCACCGACCTTCAGGGCCCGCAGGAGCTGGTTGCAGCGCTCGATGCGTGCGATGTCGAAGAGCAGGTTGATGGCCCTCGACGTGATCTCGGGCCGGTGCTCCGTGTAGGCCTCAATGGCGTTCAGCACCTGCTCCTCGTTTTTGTCACCACTCACCTGGGGTCCGGGACGGGGTGTGTGTGTGAGAACCCCAGATCTCAGCTTGGTCTGGGCCCCGGAGCACAGGGCGCTTCGGCCCGGCTGCTCCCTTATCCCTCCCCACACCCCTTCCGAGCCTGCAATGCTCACTTTGTAGGCCGGAATGTGCGTGAGGCGGCACAGGGAGGTCTCAAAGAGCCCGAGGAACTGCAGGGGCCGCTTCAGAGCGCGGAAGGGCATGATGCTGCTCTTGGCAGGCTCGATGCTGGGGAAGAGCGTGGGTCAGGGCTTGGAGTTGGGCCTGGCCGGGCCACCCCCACCGGCTGTGTTGGGGCAACACTGCACGGATGGGATGCTCCCTCGTCCAGGTCCTCAGCCTCGCCCTCCTTTTCCTTCTAAGGCTGGGGAACAGAGGCCATGGCCTCTGGATGGAAGGGTGGGGAGGTCCCATGTAGCACCGTGTGGGATGGGGGCTTTGGCCCTCGGGGAAAGGATCGTCTGCCACTATGCAGAGGACACGAGGCCTCAGGTTTCAGCAGTCACCATGGGATGAGCTCATCAGTTGAGCAGTGTTAAAGTCTGCTCCGACCCAGGGCAACCGAGCTATCTGCAGCAGCGACCCCTGATCAGCACAGATGCTGCTGTTCTGGGCTCAAACTTTCCATCCTCCTGCCTCAGCCTCCCGGAGTGTTAGGATCACAGGTGTGCACCACGCCCAGCCAGCGTCATCTCTTGTCACCCTGTGCTCCCATCAGTCAGGGCAGTTCTGTTCGCACCCTGTCTTTGCTGCTGGGTCCCCATCCCTTTGGCAAACTCAGGAGAACAAGCTTTCAGGACAAGGGGGGGTCACTTCTCCTCCTCTCCTTCCTGATCCTCAGGGCCACCTGAGCCTGCACTCCTCTGACCAAAGAACGACCTGTGGCTCCCACAGGCTCACAGACCCGGGAGGGCAGGGACCAACTCGTTTCCTCGGTGGTGGCAGCGGGACATCGGTGGGACTGGTGTGTGTGTGCCTGGTGGCGGCGGCAGCAGCCTGGTGCTGGTGCCCACCTGGTCTGGCCGGCCTCCTCGTCCATCTTGGAGATGCTGCAGTTCTCCAGGATCATGTGGCCGGAGATGTCCAGGGACATGAGGTTCCCCAGCTTCTGCACAAAGAGGCTCAGCACCTTCCGTGTGAGCTTGAACTTGTAGTAGCTGGAGAGGCGGTCTCGGGAGATGTCCAGATGCCTGGGCGGGGGCTGCAGGTCAGGACCTCACTCCTGCCCTGCAGAGCTGGGGGCCCTGGACTGCCACAGCTGCTCCCCACCAGCACCCCACTGGGCCCTAGCGATGGACTCGCTTCCGCTTCCGTCCTCAGCCTGGCCCTGCCCTCCCGTCCTCGCCACCTCCCCCTCTGCTCACCGCAGCTTGTGCAGCTGGACAATGACTCGGATGTGGTCATCCGACAGGTCCATGTTGTAGAGCACGAGGGACACCAGGCTGTCCTTCCACTGGCTCAGGAAGGCGGCGTCGCTCGTCTGGATCCCTGAGAGGTCCAGGGCGGCCAGTGAGCTGAGTGGCCGCAGCAGTGACTCCACGGGGACCCCGTCGATCATGCGGCCCAGGTTGAGGAAGCGCAGGCGGCTGAAGCCCTCGAAGGTGAAGTCTTTCACCAGCACCTGGCAGGTGGGGTTCACCAGGCACTCGTCCTCACAGCCCCCGGGGTTCTCCTCCTCGTAGAAGATGTTGGCGCAGCCAAAGAGGCTCAGGGACACCAGGGTGTGGCTGAAGCTTCGCAGCGTCTGCAGGCTCTTGGCGGACAGCTTCTCGCAGTTGGTCAGGTACAGCTCCACCAGGTCCTGCGGGCACAGCCCCGTCAGCGACCGACACGACTTGCCTGTGGCTCTGCTCTGCTGGCTGTGCCGGGTGCCCCCCCGAGGCGGCCTCACCTGCTTGCGGATGGCCTCCAGGTCCTGGTCCTGCACCAGGTCCTCACGCAAGTGGATCCGGGTGAGGCGCGTGCTGCGGGGGTCCGAGAAGAGGCTGAAGAAGCTCTCGTGAGGCTCGAAGGTGCAGGCAGCATTGACCAGCTCCACATACCTGGGAGAGACTCACCCGCTTGGGGCGCGCCCAGGACCCTGGCTCCCTCAGGACACAAGGCCGCCCTCTCCAAGGGCGCCTCCTCTCCCGCCCCCTCCCAGAACCTGGCTGGGACTTGACTACAGATCAGGCAAGACAAAGGGTGCCCAGGGAACCAGGGATGGAAAGGTAGCTCTTGGGGGGACCTGGTAGTGCAGGGGCCTCATTTTCCTGTTTTTCTTTCTTTTTTAAAATTTTATTTTATTGGTACATTTTAGGTATACAATATAATGACATTCATCATTGGAAATTTTTTTTGTTGTTTTTTGAGACAGGGTTTCACTAGGTAGTTCAGGCTGGCCTTGAACTCACTATGTAGTCCAGGGTGGACTTGGACTCATAGCAATCCTCCTGCCTCAGCCTCCTGAGTACTGGGATTACAGGCATGGGCTACCATACCTAGCTGCTGGGGGCTCTTATATAGAGTCAATGCCCAGTTGGACGTGGTGTCTCACACCTATACTCCCAGCACTTGGAAGGCTGAGGCAGAAGGATCACCCGCCATGAGTTCAAGGCCAGCCTGGACTACATACCAAGACCCTGTCTTAGAAAAAAGCTAATGCCGACCTCTTCCCCCACAGAAGCCTAGACACCCGCATACCAGACACCCAGAGCTCGACTCCAAAGACATCACCTCTCACACACCCTCCAACCATGCTACAGCAGCAGCACCCACCGCCACATCTACATCCACTCAGTAAACCCTGAAGATTCCAGCTCATGGAGGATCCCTGGACCACTGAGGCTCTGGAGGAGAACACTACGAACCTAAATCCTGCCCTGGCTGCTCCCTACCAGGCAGCTCAACACAGAACTGAACTTCCCGGAACCTCAGTTTTTTTATCTGGAAAATGGAGGCAACAGTGGTCGGCATAGTGTCCAACCTCTGCCTGACTCACACTGAACACTCAGGACGTTGCTAGGAGTTCAGCTCTGAACTTGATTCCCACGCAGCTCCCCCCAGCCACGAGACTCTTTGATCTAACGACTGCCTTCCAGGGTATCTGGACTGAGCCCCAACACTCAGGGAACAGATATCAGGATTCCTGGAGCCCCTAGCAGAGGCGAACTCAAATCTGTCCTTATTCCACAGGCACGGGCAGGGCTGAGCACACACATGTGGGACAGCATTACTCCATCATTTCCATACAGTTGTTTTTTTGGTTTTTTTTTCAATACCAGGGATCAAATTCAGGACCTTGAATTTGTAAGGCAGGTGTGGCACCACTGGGCTAAATCCCCAGCCCTGTTTGTTTTTTTGAGACAGGGACTCTATATATTCCAGGCTGGCCTTGAACTCTAGGTGATCCTCCTGCCTCAGCCCGCTGAGTGCTGGGATTTGTTTTTGTTTTTGTTTTGTGGTAACGGGAATCAAACTCAGGGCCTTGAGCTTGCCAGGCAGGTGAGGCGCCACTGAGCTCTAACCCTAGCCCCAAGTGCTGGGATTACAGGAGTGTGAACATGCCATGCAGATTTTTACATTATCTCAGCCCCAAACGCACACATGCACATCCCCTGTGGTGCCGAAGAGTATTGTGCAATTCACAGTTCTTCCTGCATGTGCACACACACACTTTATGGCATGGATACACGGCTACTTTGCACCCAGGGGCACCGGTGCATGCACACCCCTCGCACATCTGCACCCACTCCATCTCTGCGGGCCCCACGCTCGGCCGCCCAGGCGCTCACTCATTGACCAGCCGGTCGCAGATCTCGCTCGGCAGGAAGATGTCTGGGTGTAGACGAAGGGTCTCCTTGTCCAGCAGGTAGCCCAGGGTGCCATCCAGGTTGCGCAGGCAGAAGTCAGTGCAGAGGCTCATCAGGGACTCGGGGGTGTCGGATGCCATGCTGGGGGCCGCGCCAGGACAGGACCCCGGCAGCGGTGATGCCTCAGCTCTCACAGGATCATTGGAGGAGCCGCACCTGGGGAATGGGAGAGAAGCCAGGTGAGCTGTGGGCAAGGGCCAGCACCATCAGCCACCCTGTGTCCAGCCCTTGAGCAGGAAAACTGAGGCCTCTGGACACCACATGCAAATTAGCAGCTTAGCTGGGCCAGGCCCAGGACTCCTGACTCCTCTTTTCATTTATTTATGAGACAGGGTCTTGCTATGCAGTTTAGGCTGGCTTTGAACTCACTATGTACCCCAGGCTGGCCTTGGACTTGTGGAGCTCCTCCTGCCTCAGCCTCCTGAGTACTGAGATTACAGGCCTGCGCCACCACACCTGGCCTGGCCCCTTCTTTTGTCCCCCTCTGCTGCGCCGCCATGTTTGCCTGGCCAGACCTGCAAAGAGCAAGGGGCCTTGTCCAAGCATTCTTTTGCCTTCGAAATGCCTCTGGGCGGTAGGGTGTGTTGAGGCCCCACTGCTTGAGGATAACAGGAACTTTCCCAAATGCTTCTCGAATCGTAATAGCTACAGTGCTGTGTCCATCGTCCATCGTGTGCAGAGCAGAACTTTCTAACCTGCACACATCTCTAGTGAGCACTTGGTGCAGGCCATACCGCAGAGACACACATGGCACTGCAGCTCACGGCATGTGACTAAGCATGAAAGCCTCTCCCCAGAGATCATAACATCTGTCCATGAAGAAACTTGTGCATGGGTGTTCAGCACAGCACTGTTCCTCGTAGTGAGAAGGGGGAGCAGCCCAACTGCTTGCCAACTGACGAACGGACCCACAAAACCTGCTTCATCCACAGAAGGCTGCATATTACTGAGTCACAAGAAGCTGAATATAGGTGGGGATGGTGTCACATGCCTGCAACCCCGGCATTTGGAGGCTGGAAGATCGAAAGTTTGAGTTCAGGGCGGGGGATTTAGCTCAGTGGTTCCACCGCCTGCCTTGCAAGTGCAAGGTTCTGAGTTCAATCCCTGGTACAAAAAAAAAAATTAAAAAAAAAAAAAAGAAAGAAAGAAAGTTTGAGTCCAGCCTGGACAACTTAGCAAGATAATGTCTCAAAATAAAAAATTTAAAAATGTTAAAAAAGGGGCTGGGGATGTAGCTCTGTGTAAAGGCCCTGGGTTCATTCGCCAGTGCCACAAAGCAAAAACAAAACGATGCCAGGAAGAGTTGGGGACAGTGACACACACTTATAATCCCAGCTACTTGGGAGGCTGAGGCAGGAGGGTTCCAAGTTCAGCCTAGGAATACAATGAGGTCTTGTCTCAAAATAAAATTAAAACAGGGAAGGGATATCTTCAATCCCTTGCAGCTTGCTGGTGTAGCGTGGTTGGAGGGTGTATGGGAGGGAAGGGAAAAAAAAGAGAAAAATATCACTAAGGGGCAGGGATTTAGCTCAGTGGTGCTGCTGCCTGCCTCAAAAGTGCAAGGTCCTGAGTTCGATCCCTGGTACCAAAAAAAAAAAAAAAAGAAGAAGAAGAAGAAGAAGAAGCCCATGCAATGAACCATACCTATAATCCCAGGTACTTGGGAGGCTGAGGCAGGAGGATCATGAATCCAAAGCCAGCCCATGTAATTTAGTAAGAGAGAGGAAGAGGAAGAGAGAGAGAGAGAGAGAGAGAGAGAGAGAGAGAGAGAGGGAGGGAGGAGAGGGAGGGAGGGAGGGAGAGGGAGAGAGACTACTTCCAACTACTTCCAAATAATATACACAATAGAGGATTTGTGGTTTTTTGATATTTTGAGACAAGGGCTCCTTATGCAGCCCAGGCTGGCCTCAAACTTGTGGTGCTCCTCCTGCCTCAACCTCCCACGTGCTGGGATTACAGGTGTGGGCCACCATGCCCAGCTCAGAGGACTTACATTTAGATATATAGGATAAGCAACTTCTACAAATCAGTCTGAAAAGAAAAAGACACAGGTTCAATTTTAAAGTTGGCCAGAAAAACTGGGTGTGGGGGAAATCCCAGCACTTGGGAGGCTGAGGCAGGAGGGTTGAAAATTTGAGCCCAGCCTAGGCAATGTAGTGACTCAGAAAGACCTTTTCTCAAAATGAAATACCAAAAAAAGGCTGGGGACGTAGCTCAGTGCAAAGGCCCTGGGTTCAATCCTCAGTAACACACCTCTCCTGCCTCCCCCACCAAAAGGTAAGAAAATACCCCAGATACCAAAGGGGTTCACACTGAAAAGGGATTCAGAGCCCAGCCTGGTAATCACCCAGCTAACAGTGCACACACCATTGCCCTCAAAGAACGAACACTGAGACTTTATATTCAAATGGGTGAACCAGAAACAATCCCGCCAGGCCAGGTAGTGTTGCCCACACCTCCAGCTCCCCAGGAGGCTGAGGCAGGAGGATCACGGATCACGGAGCCCAGGAGCTCGAGGCCAGCGTAGGCAACAGAGCAAGACCCTGTCTCAAAACCAACAAACCAAACAACAAAAAAAACAATTTCTAGAACTTCGGCCAGCCAGAAATCAATTCCTGAACACAATGTTTCCTACCAGGATCTGTATCAGTGTGCGGAATGGGGGGAGCCAAACTATGGTGCTAGAGTCAGGGTGGTGCCCTCCTCCATGGGCGGGCAGGAAGGAGCAGGTGGGCAGAGGGGCTTCTGGAAGTGCTGGGACAGTGTGCCCTTGTGCAAAGCCACCAGACCGCGGCCCAATGTCGTGTGCTCTTCATTATGCACCCACAGATTCTGCATCTGTGGATGCAACCAGCCACGGGTCAGAAATATGTGACACCGCACCTGCCTGGCAAGCAAAAGGTCCTGAGTTTGATCCCCAGTATCAAAAAAAACCAAAAACCTTAAAAACAGTGAAATATGTGAAAAAATGATACATCTGTACTGAACATAGAGACAGGCTTGTATGTCACCATCCCTACACAGTCCAGGATAACCCCTTATATGACATTAGGCGGTATAAACAAACAAAAAAATGCACAGGCTTGTATGCACTTGTAATTTTAGCATTGGGGAAGCTGAGGCAGGAGGATTGTCATGTGTTTCAGGTCAGCCTGAGCTACAGAGAGACCCTGTCGCAAACAAACAAAAGTTCAGGCTGTGCTAACTTCCGCAGGTCTCCAGGGGAAAATGGCATGGCAACCCCCTCACAGTGAGCAGAGAGGTACTACAGGGTAGTCCTGGGCAGGGAGGAACCTGGAGCTCCATGCACGCCCTGCGGGCTCCGGGCTCCTGGCTCCTGCCCCCAGCCACCTCCTGTCACCCAAGGGTGGACCTGTCTCTCGTCCCAGCTGGCCACTTAAGAGCGGGTGGACTTGGGTGAGCATCCTCACCGCTCCAGTACTCAGGATTTTCTCTAAAAGAGGGCAACGCAGTTCCCTGTCCACAGCACTGCAGGATAGTTACACAGAACACGGGAAGGGCTTGGCATGGTGCCTGGCACCTAGTAATCACTCAATGGAAGAGCAATTATTTTTCTTTTCTTTTTGGAGGAGGGGAGTTTCCAAACAGGGTCTCACTATGTAGTGCAGGCTGGTTTCAAACTCACAGTGATCCTCCTGCCTCAGCTTCCTGAGCACTGGGATTACTGGCTCGCACCACCACACCCAACTAAGACAGGGATTCTTATCACCTTCTTCTCCCCCAGCTGCCCGACCCACACAGAGTAGGGTCTGTCCCAGCCCCAGCTCCAGGCCTAGGCTCTCCCACAAGGTCCACTGCACCACCTGTCCCACTGGCAATGCGGCAACACCCTCAAGGGAAAGGAAGGCGAGCAGGAAGCCTACACTCTGGCCTGGGCTTCTGCCTTCATTTACTTCCGGGTCTTCAAGCACCCAGCAGTGATTCCTCGGGGAGGCCCCGCCCCACAGGCCCCGGCAACTTCCAGTGTCGCCCAGCTGTCCCTCTGGGGCTCTGGATGTGAAGCAGCTTGCCGGGCTACTCAGTCCCCTGGGACCCCTACTCCAGCCAGCCTGGCGGGAGGCCCTAGGCCCAGGTCACCTTCAGACCTCTGCTCGCCCTGTCCTCTTCAGTGGGGACCAGTTGACTCCAACTGGTTACTCCATTTCTCCTCCAAGCACTGCAGGCCCCGCCCCAGCACACATCCAGGTCCTTCCTCCAGGGGGCGTCTCCTGCCCGCCCCGGCCCCACTGCCTCTGTGCTCTCCTCTTGCTCAGGTGGTCCTATGTCGCAGTAGCAAGGCGGCTTCTTCTGGGAGGCCACCCGGACCCGCCAGGATGCTCCCCCTGGCATCCCCACAGGCCCTGTCCCAATGCCACTGTAATCACCAGGCTCCTGGGCCTGTGGACTCAGCAACCAGCGCCTGAGCAGCGAGCTCTAACCTCAAGCAGGGTCAGCATTCGGGAGGATCCTGTGGCCTGAGTGCCCTGGTGGTACACGCCTGCAACCCCAGCACTCAGGGGAGTACAGTTAGAAACGAAGGAGCTGAGAATGCCTCGCCTCCCAACTGCTTACCCATGCTTCCATAACCCTGAGACAGGGAAGCTGTGTGAGCCACTTCCCTCCCCTCCATTCAACCACAAACTAAACACCACCCTAATGATTATCCACACTTAAATTTAGGAGGTCCAGCAGATTGCTGACGTTAGTGAGAGACAGTGGGAGGCTCCTTGGGTCAGTGGTGTCTGCCCCTATAAATACCAGAAGCCTGAGTTAGCAAGTCCTTTCTTTCTCTTTGCCCTCAAATCCCTTTTCGCCTTCACCCTTCTCCCTGTTCCTGCCACTGTCCCATGATCTTCAATAAATGTAGCTACTTACTACATACTACAAGGTGTATGTGCAGCAATTCTTTCCTTGTCATACACAAGAACCTGGACTATTTTTGGCCCACTCAACTGTAGCAAGGAGGCTGAGGCAGGAAGATTGCTGAGAGTTCAAGATCAGCCTGAATTACACAGTGAGATCCTATCTCAAAAAAAAAGAAAAAAAAGAAGGGTCCTGGTTACCTGGTGGCAGGAGAGGGAAGGAGGAGATGTGTAGGCTGGAAGGAAGGGTTTGGGGGACACTGGGGCCATGGGCCCAGGCCCAGGGGCTAAGAG